TATTAGGAATATGCAAAGAATTATTAATAGGAAAAAGACAAGTCAATGACGGTGGAAGACAGACAATGGAGACTTTGAAGGGGGAAGGGTTTTTGGGGGGGATAGGTGGTGAGAATTACTTAATGGGTACAACACATGTTGTTTGGGTGATGAATATTCTAAAGCTTTGAATTGACCATTATTCCATCTATGGATGTAACAATATTGCACTTGTACTCCATAACTTTATACCACAAAAAGCTAGCAAAGACTTGAACAGGCAAGAACTTGAATACAAAAGAGATATCACAATGGCCAATAATCACGTGAAAGCTGCTCAGCATATTAGCTATCGGAGGAATACAAATCAAATGTCAATGAGATGCTATCCCACACCCACCGGAAAGGCTAAAATTAAAAGGACTGATAATATCTAGAGTTGTCAGGCATCTGGAGCAACTGGAACTCTCATACATTGCTGCACTGCAGTTCCTCATCATATCCCTTTTAAGTTTTTTGACGGCCAAACTCATGTTTTATTCATATTTCTTCCACCTTCTTGCCTGCGCGGTGCCAGTAATAAGTGCTCATGTGTTTTGACTTTCGGTTCCACTCTAGATAAAAAGCCACCAGCACACACAAAAAAGCAGCAGTGACCCTGATGAGAAGAGATGGCCCAAGTAATTTTCCGAAATGGGAGTCTAATAGACAGTTTTTGCACCAAACTGCCTGCCTTTCCCTAGGCAAATGTGCAACTCTTCATACTGACTGTGATTCCATGGCCTCAGGAAGCAGCCCAGCACTGTGGACTCCTGGGCTCTGGAGTTAGATGATTGCTGGATAGTATCCCATATCAGCCATTTACCAGCTGTGTGACCTTGAAGCAAATGACTCAACCTCTCTGTGCCTTCATTTTCTCATTTACAGAACAAATAGTAATGGTATCTACTTTATAGGATTGTAATGAGGATAAGTGAGATGTTAGAAGCAAAACATCTGTCCAACTCTAGGTGCTCAGTAATTTTCAATTCTTTTGCTTTTGAGACTTCATGAAGTCTTCTAAAGAGGATTTTGTACTTTGCATGATGGTAATCCATTTTGTGGAGAGCAGTTGAGAATTCTTTGCATTTCTTCTGGAAATATCTTTTGTGTACCTTTAAAACTGTCCCTCAATAAAAGCTCTGACAAGCATTGTCCAAGACCTCCACACTTTGTGGCCAGTGGATTTGGAGGTCCTTTCCTCAAGAAAGGCAGGGCTTTGGGGACCCCCAGTGCATTGATTACCTTTATGTCCTATCAGGATTGACAAGACAATCGATCAGGAAGGAAGCCACAGAAAAGATGAGCTTTTCTGGAGCTGATGATAACACTCCTTTATCATCAGCGCCTACAGCAAAGGCAGAGAGGCCCTGGAACCGTTACAGGTGGCCCATGCTGAACATATGCTGGAATTGTTTATGTCTTGTAGATAAAAAAGCTGGGAGTAAATATTTGCAGACAGGGAGCCCCGGCATGCTGATACGCTGATGGAATGAGAAATTGTGCATGCATGAATCAGTATGTGTGTGTGTGTGTCTGTGTGTGTATTTGAGTGGAGGAGAGAGAGGGTAAAGAGTTTTGTCTCCTCTCTCTGCCTGTAGATGGAGAGATGGTAGGTAAAGTGGAAAGAACCATTCCATGGACTACAGTCAGGTGCCCTCTGGTCTGGCCCCTGCTGTGCCAATTGTCTGATTTACTATATAGGGGGCAAGAAACAGAGACTCCCTCAGGTTGACTAGGGGGAGAACAGTTTATTATCTAGATGAATATGTTCCAATGAGGGGGTTTTACACCCCCTACCAGGGATTTTATAAAGGGCAGTTCTCCTGTACGTACTCTTCTGCCTGCCACCATGTAAAATACGCCTTCTCTCCTCCTCTGCTTTCCGCCATGATTGTGAAGCTTCCCCAGCCATGTGGAAGTATGAGTCCATTAAACCTCTTTTTCTTTATAAATTACCCAGTCTCAGGTATGTCTTTATTAGCAGCTTGAGAAAAGACTGATACGATGACTCAGAATCCAAAGAAGTTCCAGGCTCTTTGGCAACAGATTTGATTGAACTTGCAGACTCTGGAATCAGATGGCTTCACCTAGAAATGAGGCTCCTGGCTGTAGGAGCTTGGACAGATCCCCGGTTTCTCTAAAACCATAATTTTATCTTCCCCAAGAGGAGAATAAATAATATCTCCTTCAGAATGGTGTTGCATAGGATGATGCACAGAGAACACTCAGCATAGTGCCCAGTATATAGTAAGAATTTGTATTGTTGCCATTATCATTGTTTTCTTCCTTACTGGATGCAATTAAGGGGACCTTAATTGGACATGCCTGTTTTCCTCATCTTTGCTCTTTATCTCTTCTCAACAGCAGTGGTTTTCAAGTGTTCCCTGGACCAGCAGGGTGAGCATCACCTGAGAAAAAGTCACAGGTGGAGGTCCTCTCCTCGAGAAAGGCTGGGCTTTGAGCATCCTCCAATGCATCCATCACCCTTATGTCCTATTCTGGCTATGCAGAATTCTGTCCAAATCCTCAGGCTCCATCCTCTGTCCTATCAGAATAGAAACTCTGGAGGAGGGCTTAGCAATGTGCACTTTAGCAAGCCTTCTTGGGGATTCTGCTGCACACTGAGGTTTAAGAATCATGGCCCTACACCGAGGCTGCTCATTACCTCCAGTTCATCCCCTCATAGCCTCTGCTTCCTTGTGGTACATCATGACCCTTCTGATCTGGCTTCTTTCCTTGCCCCTAGAATCTATCCTATACATAGCTTTCTGTTTAAGCATCCTACAATAGTTTCCCATTGCCCTTAGAATAAAACCCAGACTGTAGTCACAGCCCAAAGGCCCTTTGTGATATGGATTCTGCCGCCTCTCCAACTTCCTCTGTCCCTTCTCTCCTTCAATCACTGTCCCCTCCCACACCTTTGCCCTTCCTGGCTATGTGTCTCTGTCACTCAGGCTTGAGTGCAGTGGCATGATCACGGCTCACTGCAGTCTTGACCTCCTGGGCTCTCACAGTCCTCCCACCTCAGCCTCCCAAGTGGTTAGAACTACAGGCATGTACCACCACATCCAGCTAATTTATTTTTTGTAGGGACGGAGGTCTCCCCATGTTGGGCAGGCTGGTCTTGAACTCCTGGCCTCAAGTGATCCTCCCGTGTCACCCTCCCAATGTGCTGAGATTACAGGCATGAGCCACTGTGCCCAGCCTTTATCTTGGTTCTTTGTAACATTTAGACCTAAGCTCACCTGTTTCCTCTCAGGAAAGCCTTTCCTTGCCCTCCCTCAAGCTAAAGAAGCCCCACTCCTTCACACTATCAAATACTCTTGTTTCATGACCACCAAACTCTTATTCCTTCCCCATCGTTTCTTGTTTATTTGTTTGTTTGCTGATTGTTTTCCCTACTAGACCATAAGGTCCTGGAGAACAAGGGCCTTGCTCACCCTGTTTATATCCAATACGGTTAGAAAAGTACTTGGCACAGAGGTGCTCAGCAAATATTTGTTTGTTGAAATAATGACTAAGAATGAATAGATGGATGAATAAATTAAACACAGCAGAGAGTTCCGGGAGGATAATGCCTGAAAGCTGTCATTTAAGTCCCTTCTAATCCAATGAACTCATACTTCTATAGTTTGTTTAGCTTAGTGATTCACAAGAGGGTGGTCCAGCTCTCCCTGCCTCTGGGGGAATTTGAACATGTGGAGATGTTCTGCAGTTATATGACTGGAGACACTCAGGGCATCAGCATCAGGTGGGTGGGGCTGGGTGGGCAGAACAGCCAACAGTGTGCAGAATCGTCCTGTTGGACAACACGTCGTCCCCTGCATGCCTTTCCTAGAAAATGCCAGCTGCATTCCTTGTGAGATACAACAGTTGAGCCTAATCATTGTATATCATAGTTGTGGGAAGCTGGAGTTCCAGGTATTTCTAAGCTCCCAGCCCCTTACATTTCAGCCCTGGCCTGTGCAATATTTATGGCTTCACTGAATAAAACTCAAACTGGCTCAGAAATAGTTAATCCTACCTGAGACAGCAGCTATTTTTCTAGTGAGTCTTTATTTTCAGTGACTAATAGGTAAAAGCGACATGAGTTCTCCTGGTCTGTGGAGGGTGCGGCATAAACGATGTCTCCGAGGCCCGTTCCTGTGATTACTGAGCTGGATATGAGCGATAGGATATTTTGAGGAGATAAAAATGTCTGACCAGCTAATAACTACCAGACACTGGCACCAAAACGGGTCAGAGAAAGAGAAGGAAGGGAGACAGAGGGGCAGAATTCACTCAGAGACAGAGAGGCCTGGTGAAGAATTTATGTCAGGCACATACATGTGCACACATGCAACACAGACATTCAGATACGCAGCACAAACACCCACACACAGACATAGAACATAGCCCAGAAACAAGGAACATACCCATATGTACTCCATATTTTACCCTACAGGGCACAGACTACACACATAAGTACACACAGGCACACAGTATACACTTATGCAGAACACACCCTTCCTAGATGCACCGTGCATCCCCATGCAACACCCAGCAACAACAGAGACACGCCTATACTGCAAAGGCATATGAAATGCACCAAACACAACCAGCTCATGCAATAGATGGACACACATATATAACACACACATGCACACAACTCACTCATAGAAACAATATTCATTCTTGCACCATGTACACAAGTAACCACAATGCACAGATACATATAGACACATGTAATATTACACGTGTACTATTCAGAGATGTGTGTATACAAATGTAGGTCCACCTAGCACAGATATAAACACAAGTATAACATGCAAACACACATGTACACTCCACTAAAATACACACATCTTTAAAAGTACACATACAAAGCACAGAACATACACACACCTCTAAGACATACACACCCTTAAGAGACAAACAGCACACAGATACATGTGTTTATCCTTTGCTAACAACCGCTTTTAAAAGTGAACTCTCAGATCCCTGCTCCAACAAGAGTGGCAATTCCAACAACAACAAATCAACACAATATACGAACTCTACAACTGTCAGGTTAAAAAACATCATCATGTAAAGAAAACTAAAGTGTCATGTGACTCTCTTTGACCTTTGTGGAAATTGTTTCATCCTTGCTACAGGAAGAAAATCAGCATTTAGCATGGCTGAGGTGGGGCTTGTTCTTGCTGTTTTTCTGGCTGTGGGAGGAGGGAAGCAGAGAGGAGAAGCCAAGGCTCTTAAAAGGCTGTCGAGATGGTGCTGGCCTCAGCATCAGGTCACCTGGGTTGTGGCTCTACGATCTGATACTTACCTACTGTGTGACCTGGGAGGTGTTGTTCCCCATTTCCAAACCTCAGTTTCTTCATCTGTTAATACCTCATAGGGATACGATAGATAAACTGTAGGATCTAATCCAAGTGTGAATTGTGGCCTTGACCTCCTCATATTCCTAAGAATATGAAGAGGAGGAGATGAACCCACCAATGACACTCCAGCAAATGCATTCGTTTTTAGTTTGACTCCCTCACATGTCTTTTCTCCAGCCCCAGAAAAACTTCTGCATGGCATGAGTAGCTAGTACAACTGGGCTTGTCCACAAAGAGAGGCTGTAGATTATTTCATTATCTTCATTGAGTATTAAGTATCGGATCCTGTGCCAGGTGATTTACCTGTATCATCCAATTTTAATCTTCACAATAGCCCTTTACAGTGCATTCTGTTATTATTACCATTTTACAGATGAGGACATTGAGGTGCAGTTTGGTCAAGAGACTTACTTGCTCAAGATCTCCCAAGTCGGTAAATTTTGGAACCAGGATTTAAACCTACTCTGTAGTGGTGTAGAATAATGTCGCTCTCCCCCTTCCCCGTGAAAGTTGGTCATAAAGCTCTAATAAGTTAGTAGTTGAAGTCGGCTTGAAGTCAGAACCCAGGGTGATTGTAAGAAGAGCCCTCTGATTCTGGTATGTTCTCCACTGTGACTCAGGAGCTAGACATCATGGTTTTTAGGCCTCATCCTGGGTGTTTCTTACCTCTCACTTAACACACAGTCTCTATTCAAGTTCGTAGCATACTTTCAACCTTCTTAAGCCCTACCTTCTCCATCTATAACCTTATCTGTCTCTAGGGTCATGAATTGGTCAATATATCACATCAAAAGAATAACAGGTGGCAAGTCATTCTCTAGTTATGTCCTTTCTTGCCACTCTCTATTATCTGTGATTAGAAGCTTTGGGTTGATCAATATGCAGTGTTTCTATGAATAATATTGGAGGTTCGTGTGAGTATTAAAACTCCTTTTTAGGCATTTAATGTTGCCATTTTATACTCTACACAGCAGCATGGCTGTGACTGAGAAACAAGAGCCTAGAGTCAGGCTTTCTGGGTTCAGATCCTGGCCCTGGACCTCTAGGTAACCTTGAACGTATTACTTCGCTTTTGTGTATCTCAGCTTATTTTTACATATAATGGGTTTGTTCACAGTACGGAGACTTTTGCAAGTGGTTGTATATTCTAAACTTAATATTTGTAAAGTGCTTTAAATAAGATCTGGCATGTAAACGTTAGCTCTCATCATCATCAATATGGGCCTGCAGCTTTTTATGCTGTTTCAATTTGACTATGCTCTTTGTTTTACATTTCAACTTCTTCAAGTTTGGGTCTTGGCTTCCTTGATTACCATCCCTGATATCTAATGTTCTGAAAATAACAGGATGTCCCAGGCTTACCTTGGTTTTCTCTGTGTCGGGATTCAGCACAAGCTATCCTCTAGGGAGCTGTCCTGACTCCTTTTAGTTAAGGGCAATGAGGTAAATGTAGACATCAGAGGTGCACATTTGCCTACTACCTCTGGTGATAGACATGTGGCACCAGAGGTGGCATGGTTGATTTTAATGACAAGGTACACAGGAACCTTTCAGATACCCAAACAAATGCTGCTGTTTCCCAATTAATTATTCTTCCTGAGGTCCTTTTTCACCTTGCTCCAATCAAAGAGCTTCAATTTCTATTCTCTTTGCTTTTTCTGAGTTACCAATTTCTCTTCTCTTTCATTTACAAAATCCTCCCAACCAGCTTTGATAGATGATGCTGCATTTTGTCACAGCAAAACTTCTGTTTAAATTACTGCATAATCCAAAGATTTAGAAACCTAGATATGTTTCTTTGATCACATTAGATCTTATCCAAATATAGCTTTGGTGGAAAATTCACTGTACTCTTAGTCATCCACTGTACTATCCTGATCTTCAGCGAGAAGCAATGTGGTCTGGCAAGAGTATGTGGGCACCATTGCCATGGGAAGAACTTCAGATTGTGTGTGTTTGTGTACATGCGTGTGTGTGTGTGTGTGCATACATACTGTAGGTCAAAAAAAGTCCAATACTAAAAATCCAAGAGGGTTCAGACTCATAGGTTTTGCCTCAAAAGAGGTAAACCAACGTCTGCCCACCCCAGGATGGTATGCAAGAGTTAAGAAATGTGGGATTTCCAGGTTCATCAATAGATTGCTTACTATCAAATTTAATTCTTATCTTTCCTGTTTTCTTGATACCGGCTCCACAGCTCATGTATTTGTCACAGACCCTTTTATGTTGAACTCCAACTTCTTAGAAACTCTTGTACACAGGCAGATACCCATTGTCTCAAGTTTCAACTACCCTAAGACCACCTTGGAGAAGTTAAGAATATTAAGACGTCTAAACAAATTGATATAAGGATTATTAAAAAATAGACATCAGACTGTGTACAATGGCTCATGCCTGTAACCTCAGCACCTTGGGAGGCCGAAGCAGGTGGATCACTTGAGGTCAGGAGTTCAAGACCAGCTTGGCCAACATGGTGAAACCTTGTGTCTATTAAAAATACAAAAAGTAGCCAGTGCATGGTTGCAGGTGCTTGTAATCCCAGCTACTCTGAAGGCTGAGGCAGAAGAATCTCTTGAACCCAGGAGGTCGAAGCTGCAGTGAGCCAAGATCACACCACTGCAGTCCAGCCTGGGTGACAGAGCAAGATTCGTCTCAAAAACAACAACAAAAAAATAGACATCATACTGGATGCTGGAGAACATCACTGTCTTTTTCTCTGAGTCTCAGTTTCCCTCTAAGTCTCAGTTTCTTTATCTGTGAAAATTGGGACAACATTTACCTCACTGGGTCATTGTGAGAATTAAGTGAGAGGAACCGGGTCAGGATTTATATGTCCAGGCTCATGTTTCTGAAGGTGCATCTGGAGCCAGACTGAGCAGGGCTTTAAAGGAAAGGATAGGAAGTTTAGAATTATATTCTATAGATGATGGGGAATGATATTCACTCTCTCATGAATTATTTCATTCAACTTCTATTCATGGCAAAGACAATGATGAATAAAGTAAATTAGATTCATGTACTTTTGGAGCTTAGAATTTTTAATGTGTGACAGATGTAATTATATAATCACACAAATAAATATATAAATTGGTAGCATTTAAGATAAGGAGGGGCTGATGTAGATGGGGGAGAAATTGAGAAAGGTTTTCTTGAAGCAGCAGCAGTGGTGCTGAGACACGAAAGGGGTAGGGACTCATTCTGGGCAGAGCAAACAAGATATACAGAAGTCTTCATGAGGCAAAAGGGAGTATGGCTCATTAATAAAAAGGGCGAGGATGGGTAGAGCCTGTGATGAAGGAAAAAAGTTGTATGGAATAAGGCTGGAGAGGTAGAGGCTGGAGAGATAGATGGGGGCTGGATCAGGCAGCACTTTGCAAGACATTGCAGGATTTTGGCCTTTTCATTAAGAGCAGTGGGACACATTGGATGGGTTTTAAGCAGGGAAATGGCAAGCTTATATTTGTTTTATACCAGGATCTCTTTTGCGGCTGAGAAGATTGGCTCAGAGCAAGTGGGGAAGATGGAGATCGTGGGAGGTAATTGTGGTAGTCCAGGGGAAAGAAAAATGGTTCCACCTATGGCCATAATGGTAAAGCTAGAAAGAAAGGGATGGCTTCAGCATATATTTAGGAGATAAAATTGGCACTATTGGAATAGACACTGAGGTGGCGATGAGGGAGAAGAAGGTATTGAGGATGACTCCCAAGCTTTCTCCCTGTCAGAAGACTAGTGGCAGTGTTTACTGACGCTTTAAAGATAGAGGATTAGCGAATGCCATTTACCACTCTCCTCGAGACAGACTTTTCTTACTCTGTAGCTGTCCTGTGGGAATTTGTTGTGTCTCTATACCTATATTTCTTCTCCTTTCTAGGGTCCTCTGTGGTTCTGGGCTCACAAGAGGGCATCTGGCAAGGGCACAGAATTGCAGAGTGAGGGATACCTCAGGCAGCAACCATTCCACCACCATCATTTTATAAAGAGATAAAGAGATCTGTGACTGATGACCCCAGAGTGAGGGAGCCACAGGGATGGCTTACAACTTTTTAGGCCTAGGTCCTTTTCATTGCTTCTGCTGCTATGTACCCTTTGGTAGATGAAGAACATGTAATGAAGAGCTACCAATTGCAACCCTCTTATTCAAAACCCCTCAATACTTACTGTAATCCAATTAAAGACTTTATTCTTTGAGGATGCCCTCACTTCTGGCATTCAAATTACTTGTAAGGATTAACTGAGTTAATACAGATAAAATATTTAGAAAGTGCCTGGGATAGCCAAAACACTATGTAAGCTTTTGCTTCTGGTATGTTCTCACCCTACATGGCCCCATAACAGAGATCCCCAGTATCCATTCTCCTCTTTTAATAACGCAACAACCCTTCCTGCCAAGTTTGGTTGGGTACATGGCCGCCTAAGCAATCACTATGTTTCCCAGCTTCCCTTGCAGCTAGGTGTGGACATATGACTCGGTTCAGGTCAATGGAGGGTACATGAAAGGAAGGTGAGTGTCTTTCTCATTTCTAGAAGATTCAAGTCCATTTCCTAAAAGGCAAACCTTCCTGCTCTGGACTCTGGGTCCTTATTATTCTCTGGCTTAGATATGGCAACAATTGGGACAGCTGCCTTGGAGTAGGGATGGAAGCCCCATGTTGACTGTAGGGCTGATCTGGAAGCCTGAGTCACTAGGTGACCATGTATATCAGAGCTGCTCCTTCCCCTGCCTGCTGAAATCCTGGGACACTCACCACAGATTACTACTGTGTGGAAGGAACAAACTGCTCCCTTATGTAAGCCTGCATTTTGGAAGTCTCTTTGTAACAGTAGCTTAACCTGAATGCAACTGATACAGCCCTACCTACCTTTCCTCTCATGACTGCCTTTTACTTACTCTGTGCCCTGGCTATACTGCTATTACACTACTGTTATTACTGTTTCTTTTAGCATTGGCTTTTCTTCCTCCAGGCTTTTACTCATGCTGTTTCCACACTGAAATGTCTCAAGAGTGTTGCCTAAAGAAAAGCCCACGGGCTTTGTGATTAGACAAGAGTGAATTTGAATCCTGGCTCTGAAACTTTCCAGAGTGCAATGCCTTTCAACTCCCTGAATGCCAGTTTCCTCATCTGCAAAATGGGTCTACTGATACTTATCTTATGGAGAAGTTTATGATGATTGATGTGAAGTGCATGTACATCGTCTGGCTCTCAAAGAAGCTGGAGACTACTATCACTATTGTCACCTAGCAGCCAAGTCCCAGCTTGGATGGCATTCACTCTGGGGAATTTGGAAGTTTTCCAAATTTCCTTCATGATATGAATCCTGGGGTGCTTGTTAAACATGCAGCTTCCCCAGCTCCTTCCCTGGCCCCTTTCTTAGAGATAGAATGTGGGTTATGGTTGATGAATTTGTATTAACAAGCCTCTTGAGTGATTCTCA